AATGAAAGAGGAAGGCAAGAATCAGTCTTCTGTCTGCCTGATATCTACTGCTTAGCTTTCAGCCTACGTACCCTTACCTAGTTGACAGGTCTTCTACCCTGAATAGTAGATATTTCCTTGACACGTTGGACCCTAAACCGGCAACCCGCCAAAGCGGGGCCCCACCCTAATGGGATGGAGGTGCGTCCCATTGCCCCCTCTGGGTTAGAGTCTGTCTATACAAAAATAAGATAGAATATCGCCGGGTGAATCAATAAACACGCACACCATCCCAGCGGGAGTACGCACGGCGAAACATCAAGAATAGACGAATCAGCGGCGGCGTGGGTGCAGCGAGGGTTCGCTGCACCCCGCACTAGGGTATAGGGTACATCCCCCACGTACTAGGGTATAGGCTAAACTGAACCCCTCGGCACATAAGTACTGTATCCCGTGGTGATGCCTCGATAACGTTGACCGGTCAACACCAAATTCTTTTACAATTTTAGTATAATTAATTGAATTTCCTGGTTTCAAGAAATTGATTTCTTCTATCGCCGCTTCAATTAAAGCTATATTGATAAAGATACGAGCAGTTAAAATTCACAAAAAGAATAGTCGGTGAGGAGAAATCGGGTGGCAGGTGGGACCGGCGTCAGGTGATAACCGACTGTAATTGGTTACGTGGTGAACTTTAAAAACTAGCCTCAGCCACCCTCATCTACTCTTGTTGCGTTTGGCCTTGCCCTCTCAATCAATTATATTAGCTCCGCAGTTCAGCTGCGGCTGAACACATCCCACTTAGCTGAACTTTCTAGAAGAATCAACAGAGCGGTTATAATTGGCTGGGAACCATGGGATCTTTGTACAGCAGAGACCGAGGGTCTATTAGATTGCCTGCTGAGAGTCAATGATTAATAAATAGGCGCTTGTCACTCTGACATGGATAAAGATTTGTACATCTCTGCTTTCAACCTGGCTGTACCTCCCCTGCTCTCTCCTACCTACTTTATTTTTGGTAATATATAATATAGTATCAATTGCTGAGTGAATTATTTCACCTGACATTCATACTTAGACAATGGTGGACACAATAAAACTTAAGAAAGTCATCCACGAAGGCGGAAAACGTGGTGTTGAGATCGACGGCGCTACATGTATGGGTGGTATGCTTTTCTTTTGGTAGGTGCTTTGTCCGTCTGACAGCTACTATATCTAGTATCTATTTCCAAGATATCCGATATATAGAATTTTGAGTGTATATATTGGGAGACCATTCTTGGCTGACACATTTATACTATCTAGCACCACTGTTGATGAGCCCGGGGGCGATCTTAATCTTATAATCAAGTCCGTTGAGGCTATGAACACTGAGCCAGACCCTGATCAAGAGGAGCGCACGGGTGGCTCTAGACATATCGGCAAGATGGTCTTCTCTTGTGACGATGAAACTCTCTGTGCTGTTGCCTATATTCCTGAATCCTTGAAGGAAAAGGTATATATCGTATTTCTGCCTGTATCCCTGCACAGAACCCTTAATAGCTTATAGTCAGTGTGACTGATAATAAGACAATACTGAAAACTATAGCTCGATGCTGAGATCTGGTTAAAAGCTATTCTTGCTCCTTACAATGGCAAACTTGTCAAGGCTAGCCCAGCTTTTTCCACTGGAACTATCGCCATCAACTCGGAGGATGGTAAGTCCTCCCACGAAATACGCAGCGAGGCTTGTCGACAGGCCGTCCAGTACCTGAAAGAGAGAGATCTCTTCCCTGAAGCATGCTCTGACTCAGACTCCGAACCGATGGGGGATACCGACATGTTAGATAACTGTATATTGCCTCCCTATATCTCTAGTTAGCAAGCATAGCTAACTGTTGTCTAGTGTAGGAGGTATAGAGATACCAGTACTGTGGGAAGGTCAGACAGCAGAGTGTTATCCGTGAATGCTATTTGTACGGGTTTCAATTTGCTGGGCGTAAGTGTCATATTGCGCCTCAGTGATCAGAGATGCTGATATAGTAGCGGAGTATTTTCTATATTCAGTACTATGGCGGCGCTTCCTATTCTTGTACTGGTAAGAGATACTGGTTTAGACCAAGGGATATGGCCCATAGGTAAAGCCTATGTTTTATTTTTATTCTACAATATGTCATATCCACCAAATATACACTTGACCAAAAAATCTCTAGAGAGTAACAGTGGGGAACTAACCCTACTTCCCTAATATCTTCTCGATCAACTGACTATATTAACTGTTTACTGAATCACTAGTGAACAGAGAAACTCATCGCACTTAGAGAAGTAGTTTTGTAGCAATATATATTCGATATTTTATACCTACCATAGTAATATACTAGAGTATAACACTTTTGCTTATTAAACAGAATATGAACATATTTACAATAGTTTAAATTTAGCAGTGATAGCGCAATACGTGACTGGATATAATAAAGCAACGCACAATTCCAAGAACCAGGCCTGCCCAGGCATAGAGTTGCACGCGGGTCGGGTTTTGGATAGGTCTCCCCGCACCCGACCCAAAACCCGCTAGGTTTAGGCTTCCCCGACCCGCGGGTTTCCCGCCAAGTCTAGGCTAAACCTAATTAGATAAGGTGTCGCTTATTAATCACAGATCTTACCTAAATAAGCCTAGTATAAAAACTGTTTAAGCTCTATATCTCTAACAATTCTATATATATAGAATTGATATTAAATATATATATATATATAGATATAGTATATCTATATAAAAATCTAGAAAAAATCTAGAAAATCGGTATTGTAATGCCAAGAAAAACCCGCTCGGGTTCCCCGTACCCAGACCGGGTTGGGGCGGGTTCGGGTCGGGCCCAGCGGGGAACCCGTGCCACTCTAACTGGGGGCCAGAGCTCTTCCTACTCCAGTGGTTCCGCCTCCTCGAACTCGACGAACGCTATCATCATCATCAACAATGAGGCTGGATTTAAACGATTTTGCTTTCATCAGTTGTGAAAAGGAATTCGAAATATCTAGTGTTTTTTAAGTATCCCTGCAAGGACGACTATATCTTAGAAAGCTCGAATATATACTCCGAAACCTTACCACAATACTTATCAAACCTGTCCTTAACAAATTCAGTATAATACTATAGAGAAGCATCTGTGGTATTCTAATTACAGAGAAATTGACCTATTCATCTATAAAGGTACCGCATATACTTGTTTGAAAGAGTAAGGATTATACCAGGAAGGGGTTGTTCCGGATTTCTACAGAGTAATCGTGTAAATAGACCTTATTTAATAGCGGCCTTATTTATATCGTTTCCTGAAGGACAAACTTGGTCCAAATGCTATTCTGCTGGAATTCATTCCAAATATAAAGTAAATAGATTTTGCTATATATACAGAAGACCGCGCTGCTGCTCTTCTGGAAATTATTTATAAAATCTACAACACTGGAGTTTGCCATGGCGACCTATATTCTCGGAATATAGTAGTTTAACAAGGAACAGAAAGAGTACTCTGAATAGATTTTGATCGCGCTTAAACTGTTTCTGAGGGGTCTCTTATCAATAGACAACACAACTGAATGGAAGATGATACGATAATGGCCTCTGAGCTACTAGGCCTCCTAGTAAGGAACCTGGCCTCTTGCCCTAACAAGCTGACTCGAATTTAGGCAAAGAACATGAAGCTCGGACAGCTTGTTCATGCGTGGGGTTATTATTACCATTATTCTTGACGATTCCATGGATTACCTTTCTAAGACAGGTAGTAAAGACTTTCTTTGTGGAAGATATACAATATGGAAACCACGCAGTGGTATAAGTAAGATACATGAGACTTACCGCACGGTCGTTATATTGTTGATGCACGATGCTAATTAATGAATAACTAAATAGGTCTAGTATAGGGCCCTTGGTAGATTTTAAGCTTTTGTACGATTACGCTTCCCTAGATATTTATGACTTTTGTATGGCTTAACCTTGTAAGTTATCCAATTCAAAATATCGAGTTCTGCAGCATACTCGAGCTCTTCTGTGATGGATTCTCTGGTTATATTGAGACAATAATAGTTTCTGAATATAGATTTAAGCTCTTTATACAAAACTTATATAGTTAATAGAAACAGAACGTGAGCATTCATAGATATGATAGTCTCGATATGTCCTATCCAGAGTCTGCAAGGCAGGGATGGCTAGCAATTGGAGTCCAATCATTGAACAAGAGAGACTACTCGCGGTTAAACCCGCAACTCGGGCTATCCAAAAAGAAATTGTTTTCAAGGATAGTAGAGGTAACTAAGAAGAGAGTCCCTCTTACCAGCCAGCACGGAGGATAAAAACACCATGAAACACTCAAGAACCCCGGAGATTGACCTACCCGTTGGGAAATCATACAATACCAGAGCTAAAGCAAGGCAAGGTAGGACACTACCGATGACCATATTGAAGGTCGAGTTGAAGTGGTAATCTTAGTTCATTCGAGTAACCAGGTGAGGTCAGCAGAAACTTAATGCTGTTAGTCAAGAACAGCCGAAAACATTCCCAGCTAAGCTACGGATAGTAAGCTATTATGGAAGAGCAGCAGAACATCTCAACATTAGAGGAATCAGCTAAGTACAGGATTTAAGAAAAGAAGAAATGGGGGCCTAGGGAACCCGAAGAGGGTTCCCGTCCTCGGCCTTGCTCCAATTAACGGCTGGACATCAGACTAACAGCAGACGTAAGAGACTCCATAGCCCCACGGCTGATCTCTGCAGAGCTTTCGAACTGTCTATAACCTATTACCAAACCACTGTATCTCTCTTAAGCGGAAAGGCGGGTATCTAGCATTCCCGAGAGAGGACCGATCAACCGAAGGCTGTTTTTGGCCGCCTGGAGGGAATTAATGGCCTCAGTAAGAGTGGCCTCGGCTTTAAGAATAAATTTCTCGATAGAATCTTGAAAATTAGGAATGACTTCAACGTAGGACACACGGAGCAGTATACCGGACACGAGGACACCCGGATGGGCTGAGTTCAATGGAGCAGACATTTTCGCAAAGAACGCTAAGAAACACCAAGTCAGTAACACAAAACGCGCCCGGCCCGCCACATATTCGCCCAGAGTTGCTTCGAAACTGGTGAAGCCAGGAGGAATACATACAGAAGACAGCCTTAGTTCGACTTGAGATGAAAAATCGATATTGAAGATAAGAGTTTGGCTGTCGTTGGCGGATGCAGAGAAGAGGGGGTTGAAGAAGAGGAAGTCAGGTCCCAGAATTTGAAGAAATTTCTCAGGCGGAAAACAGGGGGCTTGAAAGTAATGTGAATATAGAACATTTACCTGAGGAATTAGGCGTCGCAAGACTAAGGTCAGGATCACTGCACATCAGCGATGAATGATCAGGAAAGAATGTAAAAGAGCGAAATAGAAACTATTATACCCCCAACCTCCGAGGAAAACCCTTGAATCCCCATACCACATACTAGGTTTTGTCAGGATCATACCTTTTTAACGCACCTAATATTGAAGCTCTCCGCGAGAGACTCATGAGGCCACTATCTCTGCCTCCCACTCTTCCTTGTCACTTGCCTCGCCCACCTCACGCGCAGTACATTGGCATCTTCGGACTCTCAAGTAGCCACAAAACAAACTGCAAAAGATCCTCGCATTTCGACGACAGGAAGAAGGAACGGAGGATCATAAAGGTATGTTTATTTCTGCATGGTCTAGCGTTCGTAGCCTGAATCTGCTTGGAAGCCTATTATCTCGGCTTCTTCCTGCTTGGCCGGTTGCTTGTCGGCGTACGACAGATACACAACAGTGGATAGACGGCATTACACAAGGAGACACAGAAAGACAGATTTACCTACAGACCACTTGATGATCGCTCATCGAGCAGATTATCGCATCTCATCAGCACTACATGTAAGTCCCCCATAAAACCCGCGGGAAGATCCGCGCGGGCGAGGGAGGCACGGCGTTGGAGGGCGCGAAGGGCGGACGCAGTCTATTATAGAAAAGAACTCCAGCTTGATTTATGGTGCAAGGATTCTATCAATTATATAGAGATCACTAACAAACTCATCGTAGTCTAAGTTAACGTATTTCACGGGTTATCCGGCCACCCGGGCCACCCTTCTAAAATTGAAGCTATATAAAACACCATATAATTGCATATCTACAGAATAATGAGAAGTTCTATCGATTCGGGCAGTTTGCAATCTTATGACCCTTTACATTGCAACCAGGACACCTCGGTGGGGCGCGTCTAGGAGCCGATTCAGCAGGTGAAGTCCTATCTGCCTGTATGGCTTTATCTGCATGTTTTCTGCTTTCTATAAGAGCCCTTGCTTCCTGAACTGATATACTTGATTCTATTTGAAGTTGAGTTTTAGAGCGCTTTTGCTTTTTAAGCTGCTTTTCATAAGAAGCCTGATATTGCTCAATTTGATGCTTCAGGATAGTTACCTCAGCTAGAGCCTGTTCAGCACCTTTTAACATCTGATTTAAATTCAGTTTGACAGGTGAACCAGGACTTCTAGATCGGTTTCTTAATAGCTTTTTTAACCTCAATTCTGATTTATTTAGCTGTTTCACTGTATAAGGTGTTTTAGGCGCTGAGCTGCCTTGCTTGGTCTGCTGCCTGGAGGTATAGGAGTTTTAAGCTGCACAGTAATTTGAGCAAGAACCTGCTTAGGATTAAAGGGAACTAATCCAATTGCTCGAAAAGCGCTATAGATATTGCTGCTAGTAAAGGCCTGCGTGCGGGCGTTGGGAATAGGCTGATAACAAAATCATCTTTATCAATATGATTGATTCCACAGCGCATTTTAGATCCAACTGATTTTCCGTACGCCTTTTTTAGAGGTGAGAAGCAGGTAACATCAAGCGGTTGAAGCTTATGAGAAGCGTGAGCAGGCATGCAGATTGGTATAATATCATTCTCCGAGCAAATCTGATCAAGTTGAGGCGTAAAATGGCTATCATGGCCATCAAGAACAAGTAGATGACATCGTCCCACAGATCAGCCTGTAGTAGTAGGTATAAAATGATTCTGTAGCCAGCATAGGCCAATTTCATTGCTTGTCCAACCAGTAGGACTTATTTTAATTCTCCAATTAGATGAGACATTTTGATTCTTGTATTAGGCCTCCATATGCACTTTGCCTTTGAAAACAATACAAGGAGGTAGAGCCCATCCGTTAGAACTTATACATTCTATGGAGGTACCCCATTCCCGATCCCCTGGCTCTACAAAAACAGGTTTTCCTTGCGTATCAGACCTAGTAAATACCTTAGCATTAGCTACTGGATTCATTGTAAATCCTGTTTCATCAAAATTATAGATATCACTCGATGTAATACCATATTGTTGAATAACCTCATTTACCTGCTGGAACTAGGCACGCAGAACCTTAGGATCTTCAGCTTTAGCACGCTGATAGTTATATCTGCGTATAAAGCGTGTTTCTAGCCTAGGCCTGCGCCTAATAAAGGTTGAAACCCAGTTTTTGCTAACAGTAGTAGGAGTAACAGTAGGATCACGCTTAGCAATCAGAAGATTTGCTATTTCTTGTACATGAGCAGGCCGAGGACTTGCTCCACGTCAATCTAGGGACATAATCCACTTCACAAGCGATTCTTCTTCAGAGATAGTCAATGTATGGTTCTCTGAGCGCACTTGAGGCTTAAAAATGCTTCCCTTTAAGCGATCAGTCAATGTAGAACGAGGCACATTATAAGCTTCAGCAGCCTTCCGAACACTGTCGAATTTTTGGGTTTTAATAGCTGATATAGCCAGCAGGATCCTGCCTTCTTGTTCCACTAGAGATTTTGATGATTTAGGCATTTTTGGTAGTATGGCTGGTTCTTGAATTGCTCTAAAATTTGAGGCGCGTACAAAACGCGTAGGGTGGCCGGATGACACGAGAAATACGTTAATTACCAGAGCCACTATTAAGAATCACAGTTATCAAAACGAGGGAGCTAAAGGCCCTATATAAAATATAAATTTCCAGTACCTACAAGGTTTGCTCAGGATATTCTTTCCATTCCTACTACTGGTAATAGACTTAAAGTGTACGCGGCGACGAGATTGGGTGCTGGTATATTCATGCGTTTGAGGAATACATTAACGAAGACCATCTGAGGCAGGAGCTCATGGTACATCGAAAACAATGCTGGGAACGTCGTCATTCTGAAATTAATTTCACAGGCTACGATTCCTAGCTAGTACTGGCTGCCAAGAGGAATATGATGGTGGAGAGGTTCTGTCTGGTTATGTCACTACCCCCCAGTGGGACTGAATGTCTACCAATGTCAGTTCCTAACTTATACCAGATGCAGAAATAGACACTTTATGTCCAGAATGTAACCTCACAGGATCGATGATGATTTTTTATAACTATCTAAGGTTCCGGAAGGCTGCGGAACCCTAAAATAATCACATTGAACGGTTCATCTGTAATGGGATCATCCCACAGACCTTTTACGACTTAATGAAATTAGCTTCTAGTTTGCGATATCCGTGTATCCCGCGAATACAAATGATACGAATCCATATCGGACCACGTGATCGCTAGCCCCTTGGCTGATCAGCGTCCCCAACCCCTGAAGGCTTTATCCATTAGTTAGCAGCGATAGTGATAAGAATCAAGAGCCCGATAGTGATTGAGATAGTCGATAGAATCGAATAGCTATCGAATGGCATTCGGTCCTCAGTAGGCTATGTACGCGTAGCTGATGCAGCCTCATCCTGCCCTTCTTTCCCCTGAGATCGCAGCAACAAAGTTAGGCTAATATCATATATTGTCAGGTATACTTTTCTGTCCACTTGAACGGGTTTAGAGTATGACCTTGCCACTCATGAAATCTTTCACCATTTGCTGACAGCTGTCAAACATTTCTCCATGTATCCCTTCCATGGCTACTAGGTGGTTCCCAGGCCGAGAACTTCGTAACTTGGAGTATCCGAAGGTCGCCATTTCAGCCTCTCCTGTCATTGACGTATTAAAATGGTGGATGAATAACAAGCACGGCTTACTAGTCTAGACCGTAAGAGAACGCGACTTCATAGCTGCCATCTCAGCATGTATGATCTCAACGAAGCTAAGAGGGAACTGTAATGTTGCAAGCGGAAATTGAACTTCTTTCGCCCAGATCATGATTTCATCGTTCATCATAGAATCATGACTTTCTACCTGGAAGTATTTCTGAAGTTGGGACTTAAAAGACTTAAAAATCCGCCTGTCAAGGCGTAATCATCGCCAGCACCCACCATCATCATCTTTATTATAGTGTCTAATATACTAGCGAATCCCCTAGATTCGATATAATAATGCATTTCACCAAGTCCATGCTGGCAGCTGCCACTCTACTCCATACCTCTGCCATCGCCGCCTCCCCGTTTGAGCCATTTGTGCCTGTTCAGCCTGTTGAGCAGTATGCACATGTATGTTAATCACATCTGCTACCTACCACTGGACTGAACCTACTGTTACTACTTTTCCCTAAAACCTAATTGTATTTATAGAAATTGTAGTAGCTGACATTCTGGCATTAGATTGCGTATACTTCAAACGGGGAGTACATTGCAGATGTTGTTGGTACGGGAAAGTGGTTCGACTTACGGGTCCCGTATGTATTAACAGTTAAAAAGAGCTTTACCCCCTTTGGATTTCGAACTAGGGTCAGTTTTATATACTAATACCACCTACCTTCTTCAGAGGCTATTTCGACAATTTCCAGAATTCCAATAACTGTGCACTTTGGTAAGCCTGCACTACTATCAGTTTTTTAATGTTGCACTCTATTTATACTATTTATCACTAGGAAATGTGGCGACAAATTTGATTATGATTATTATCCAAGGGGATCGCATGAGATTCGGCCCCCCAAGTGTTATCAAAAGGTCTGGTGCTGGGAGTAGGATACTCAATAATACTGTGCTTGTTGAAACAAGGAAGCTTGTACAAATATTTTGTTACAGTTTGCTTTTCTGCTACAACGCTTTGGGCTCAAAAGAGTGGGGCAAAAATAATTCTATAAAGAATTGAATCAGCAAAAAGGGGCCAAAAAACTGGAAAATTATTATAAACTTGCTTAAATAGCAACAGCAAAAAAAAAAAAAAAAAACAGGAAAAAAATAAAAAGAAAGCCCGTTTTGGGGTTGATATACTATACATCTCTAAGTACAGTACTGTAATAAGATTTTCTGCTTATCTTTATCTACAACACTGAACGGGAACAAAGCCATTTATGGCTAGGCTGCGGCAGCACCCTTATGGACCCCCAATCACCCTTATTTTTGAGGACTAGGTTCCGAAATCCTTCGGTAATAATCCTTGCAGGAGCAGAATACACTGTGGGACATCCTTAGCACCGCTAATGCCGCTATCAGGGAGACTATAGCTGCCTCCAACATCGTCGTTCTATAAGCTCCTTTGATCTATATGATGGTTGGCGTATAGTTGATACGCCTACATTGCAGTCCTCCTATACCGAAGACCTCCATCAAGCTCTTCTCCCGAGTTCTTTACTGTACATTATTAAAGTAGCATAGTGATTGTTGGCGAAATATATGTAAGGTTGCATGTATATTCTGGTAGAGGTAACTCAATGCTCCCCCAAGTATTACAATATCTTTCATGGATCCCTCTTGCGTCCCGCAGGGGAGAATCCCTTCCCCAGTCAACAACAAACAGATTATCAAGCTCCACACGTTCTAGTCGATAACAATAAGGAGTATATTGTCCAGGATATCTAAATAAACGAGAAAGACCGGTAGGCCGCGGCTACGGAAGTGAGTTCCTTATCAATGACTCGGGTATCAGGATGCATATTGGGAATCAGCCAAGAACTTCAAAGAGATGGGTGCATTGGATAACTGGCTTGAACACGTGGCAAAGGGTGAGGCTCTACCTACTGGGCGACTGAAGAAACAACACCGGTAACCAAGCCTGAGGAAGCCAGAGAGATGGAATGCTGCAAACAGTACTTCTCCTCCAACCACCCGGCACTGCCGGATGAGCTGACAGAAAAGTCTGACGAACAGTGATGGGAGGCAAATAGAGAAGAAGGGATGCTTGGGCAGGAAACAATGAGATTGAGTAAAGAGTAATAGCGAATAAAGTGGTGGATAGACAGCATTACACAAGGAGACACAGAAAGACAAACTTATAGATCATCCGATGATAGCTTATCGAGCAGATTATCGCACAGCATCAACACAACATGTAAGTGCTGCGTGAAACTCGCAGAGACATCCGCACGCGCGAGAGAGACACGGCCTTGGAGGGCGAGAAGGGCGGACACAAACTCGGTGAGATGCTTCTCACCGAGCTCATTAAGCTCCTCCATCGAGGAATCATCAGGTAGCCCATATTGGGCCAAGAGTCGGGCATAGCCACTTAAGAACGGTAACATGGCGAATATCATCCTTTACAACTAAGGGAGAGAACCTACGGCTTTATACACTGGGCTTCTCGCGCTAAGTCTAGGCGAGACCTTGATGAACTAATGAGGGGACAACGATAGCAGACATTCACATTACGCAAAAGCAGGCACCGATGTTATACAGGGAAGGCACCACAAGCGTGGCTCAATACAGACAAACACGTGCGTCGGGGGAAGGAAGACTTGTGTAGCAGGCTGGCACTTGTTTCTTAATTCGACCAACTTTTATTCTGCTGTGCGGTCCGTCAAAACCACATTATCCGGGAAATTGCAACTCCCAACCTCAGCGAATTCTTCTAGTCAAATCGGCCACTTAAGTGGCAACCGGACACTGGCTCATAACATATAGCATTTAAAAGGTGATGTGCCCTGTAGTGGCTGCCAAGACTCTGGAGCAGGCGCCCAACCAACCAACTGAAGGCTGTTTTTGGCCGCCTGGAGGGAATTAATGGCCTCACTAAGACTACATGTTTAAAGAAATGTAACATATAAAGTTAATTAGGTCCTAGTCAGGATTATTATCCATACTATTAGAGTGGAGAATTATGGTGGGACAAAGTTATCTACATGCTCCTAAACCATAGCGCTTGCTAATGCATGGTATATTGGGAGACTAGCTACGGCTCCTAATTTTAAACATTAGCCCAGGTTTACCATAACCTGAATTCTTGGTCGGTCGCGAATATCTACGTGGCATATAATCGCGTTTAAATGGTAAAACTGCCTTAGGGGTAATTGAAAACGTGAGATGACTTGTACGGCTCAAAAATCTCTAGAGAAGAAATTTTGTGCCCTAGTTTATTCGACTTGTTTAGAAAGTCATGTCTTCAATACAATTTAACATGCGGTACGGTACGACTGACCTTTCGCTGCCCTTGGATATGAAAGCATTGTGGGTGTTGACGCCCAAAATAGATCGAACGACTACCTACAAAAATCTTTATACAATAAATAGGGCAACTAATTCTGTCTGAAAGATAGGAAATAGTAAGTCCTCGGACATCTTCGCCAAATTCCACGGTTTCCGTGGCAGATTCGATAGTAAGTTCGCCGAGAACAGCCGGGCAACGATCACGGTAGTACCGTAGAAGGCCGGTAACAGACCCTTGTTTCCTAGCTTGAAAGGCTTGTATCATAGATATTGCATTAAGGGGCGCAGCTGACTGTAATGCCATTGATAGGGAGGGTTTGTAATTCACTGTTAAAGTCCAGTATTGGCGTTCTTTTACAGCTACTCCGCCTTGGGGCGGATAGACAACTGGGCGTTGAGGGCTTTGAAATATTCCTAACACCGACATATGTTTGTCCAGGAAAGACTTCCTCCGTAAGCATATTTCGCTAAATGACGTTATTGGATGTCCTACCTTTCCTATCGCAATTCCAGCCACGTTAGCCACTGAATGTGGTACTTCCGCACACGGGTCGCCGAAAGTCACAGAACGATTTCTGCTTGTGGTAAACTAACACTGTTAGATAACGCATGGCCGTAAACTATGGTGAACTCACTGTTAGCGCTAAATGGCGACATCCGAGCCACTTCCGACGGACAGAGTGGTAAGAAACTCCTCGGGGAGCAGAGTATCCTATTGCAACATTCCGAAGATAGAGCATGCCCGGACGGGTTATCAACATGTTGATGTCATGACCTTTTACTCATAGCCATCATCGCATAACCCATAACCATAATAATTTCAAGGAGTGCATCATACAGTCGTTGTTATGACCCGAATGGTTCCACGCTCATTACAGCCAATAATATATAGAGGGAGAGAAACCAAGTAGGTACATAAGCGCTGGCTTCGAATCGGCCCACCACCACTCTTGGTACATATATTCCCATGATATATCGACGCAGTGGCTAGAACGATTGGAATTGAAACCCCAAACTCGACAGAGCTGTGTCATTCTGCACTAATCCTATTCTGGGATCAAGCTGAATTTATCGACAAGAGATTACGAGGGTATGTATACGTGATCACTGGACTATGGTCAGCCTTATTCCACAGCAAGTTCGGCGGTAATGTCAGAATTCCATGGAAATATGTAGTTGCAACTACAAACAGTGTCTGCCGCAAACAGCCATCCGCCAGAAATTACTGGTGTAGACGTCATGAACACAGTCTACAAATGAATCCCCGTAATTGTGTTACTTCTGTTACAGTAGCTACAGGAAATGCTCTTGTAACCCATCCCCTCAGCTACTCTAGTCAGGCCAGGTGAAGTCAACAGACCCTTACTGCTTTTATGAGCTGTCTCTGCCTGTCATTTAGCTAATCGTATCATGTCTTCCAAAAAAGAAAATTGCTTATCACTTCCTCTGACGTATACGTATGTGGCTGGCTATGTAACATATCCATATCTGTTATAATAAGCTGGACTATTTTTATGCTTCCCATGAAGACAAAAAAGGAAGAAAGCCTGCAGCCAACTTATGGGAGTCTTTATACAGCGACTGCTCCACATAAAGTGCCACGGAGTTTAAGATGTAGGCCTGCGATAATGGCAGGGATTTACCGGGTGCAGCTTTTATTTGTTAAACATCTATTCCCCCATTTCACCGGAAGGGGCTCAAAAATTATGGAGAGCTTGAGAAATGTAGCGCCTTACAATTAACACTCTATCTCCATAGCTAGACATATGACAATAGATGATCATTGCAGGATGATGAAGGGTCTCTCAACCCATTCCCAAAATAGACCTATTGGGTAGTGCCAATTCTAGGCTTCTAAAATCGTGTAGCTGAATTGACGTCAGGGACGGAGAAATATTTACGATATGCCAAAGCCTAAGTAATACCACCACAAGCACAAGAATGAATCCTGCTGAGATTCTTAACTTCATGCAGTGTAGCCGGAATAGAGAAGGGAGTGGTGTTTGTATGGTTCCACCCTATCTGGGTTTTAATCCATTGATTGGTCCAAATAAAGCGCTTACCACTCACGGAAGCATATTAATCAGTCATATGATAACGAAACGAACTGATACAAAGTCTAGAATATACAGGTTGCAGAGCCAAGCCCAGAAACTAGCAGCGCCCAAATGTATATAATCTCACAGGGTGGTTACCAGGTTCGAACACCGCAATTGGAAGTACTCAATGTCTCTATTATAAATGAAGTACGTCAGTGCTCTCCAGAATTTTCGCGTAAGTTTCAATCAAGCTTCATTGTATAAACTCTATTCAGCGGTAATATTTATTCGGATAGCACTTAGTACAGCGCCGTTTGCGGTAAGCTATAATCTAACTAGATGAAAGATAACTAGACGGACAATATTCCATTGATGCAATGTCAATGACTTCAACATGACGCATTGAATATTTGCACTATTACCACGATATACAAATTCTTGGTACAAATAAGACCTTCGTTACGGATTCAAAGCACCTTTAATTCATAAGCTCTTCTCTACTCTTTCATAGAAGAAGAAAACCTAATTTATATTACTGTCATTCTGTTCAGCATGCATTTTGACACATCTACCAGAAATGAGAGACTAACAGGCAGTATTCTCCACTGTGACTGCCTGAAGGACGATGGTGTTACATGGAACAAGAATCGGACAGTAGACCTTGATGAGCTTATTGGAGACTATGACGGTAAATGCTGTACTATTCTTGTGTAAGAATTAGCTGGGGCTGACGACGCCAGGATATTTCGACTACAAGTCTACACATTATTACGAGAAGTCAAAAGACGAATCTCTTATTCGCGAACGTGATGATGAGGGTGTTGAAGCCATAAAACTGACAGCACAGCTGTTAAAGAATGATAACACATACCGCGAACGGCAAGGTGTATTTCTTCACGATCGCGTCTTAAACGAGAATGGCACACTCCTACCTAGGTAGCGGCAGACAACTAAGAGTCATTCTCTTTCCTTTGTGTCCTTGGCATTTTGTTGAGTTGTTCGTATCGTTTATGCCATACTATCCTGGTATGGGTTTTTTCCCCCGTTTTGCGGGGTTTTTCCCCATACCTGAATGCAAATGCAGGGATTGTATAATTCACGTGCTGGTTTATTATTCCTTGTCTGGTAGGCTGAATCGTAGTCAAGTAATACGATTTTACAATTACAGATTTCTCATTTGACGAAAAAGAGGTGGCTGTATTCCTACAAGAAGGATATTAAAACAAGCCTAGCAGCAAAGGGCTTTAAAATAAGGCTACTGTGTAGCTGAAGAAGAAGGATCAGCCCCTAGCAACATCAGCTTGACTAGATATACGGCTAAAAACTCCGGAAGTAGCAGAATGCCTCATTAGCAGTGGACTACTAGTGGGACAGAGATACTGGGGAGTGTGGAACCATACCAGATTGAACGGAAAAATGCCGCTGTTATTAGCAATTTGGCCATCTAGCGTTGGCTTGCAAGGAACAGGTAAGATGCAGATTACTGTGCTCATTAACACGAATACCGTAACTGTTCCTGAGCAATAAGGCCAATGTGCCTGGACTGTGCTGGAGAATATCCCACTCGAAAACCAAAGTGTTAAATCACTCCTTCCTAGCCCTACCTTACCACAATGAGATTACTGAATCTTCGTCTAGTATAGCTGAACATGATGAAACCCAGGGCAGGCATAGAGGCCCTTATTGATGAGCATCAACCTCAGCACCTTGATGTACTCCTAAGTGCCACCAGTCACTGCATACCGCACCCAAGTCCACCATAGCGCATGGCGACTGTGCTGGCCAAGATATGCTGATGATTCGGCCTGATTTCGGAGCCTTCTCTATGTGGATAAAAGGATCTTAATCTTATCACGTTGCTAAATTCGCTGCAATCACCCAGACCTGGTAGCGATCAAGATATGGACCCTAGATATACAATACATGATGTTTTCAATATATGTTCAACCAGTAGCGCTTCAACAAGCCATTGATGCCACCAGGACCTAACAGGTCTGGATGCTATCCAGCCCTGCATCCAGGAAGAGTTAACTGGAAGTATTAGAACCTCCTCCAACTTATCCCTGCAGGCGATTTCAGCTCAAACCCAGATTGGATCTGAATACGCTTCCATTGTTGATGCCATTCAGAATGATAGAAGTCATATAAACCCCATGGCTGTGGGAAACCGCCTGGCTAATGCCAGGCGGACTCTCCGAGGAAAGGATCCGGCAACTTCACTAGCAGGAGCGTCGGCCGCCTCGATTAACGCAGTGGTCACGTCCACCCAGAAATGCAGGTATTGTAAAAGGAAAGGTCATGACCAATTTTGATACTAGAAGAAACATCTGCACTTAAAACCTATAAGAGACTACTCTACCAAAGCAGACAGGAGTGGTTCGAGCGTATCCAGTAATCCCCTAAGCCAGCGGGAAGAACAGCAGGGCCCGTCGACTTCCAAGAGATAGAGGATCAATATTGTAAGGGCGAGGGTGACAACCCTTTATACCAGCACCAGACCCACAGTGGATCGTGGACTCAGCTGCCACTAGCCACGCCTGCTGGGACCGGGAATGTTTTACCAGTCTCCGGCAGCATTGTGAGATGCTACAGACGGCAGGGAATCCAGTCAAGACTGAAAGATAGGCACGGTGAAGCTCAGCTTGAGAGGGAAACCTTACCGGACAGTAGTGCTCAAGAATGTGTACTATGTATGCTGCACAGGTCGCGATAAACCTAATCAGTATACCAAAGCTTATGAGAGACCACTACTCAGTACTAACACACCCACAAGGGATCTCTCTGCAACGCAGGGAATAAAGTGTAGGAAGCATCCAGTATATTAAAGAAGACTTATTTATCCTTCACTACTAAGCGAGTCACAGATCTCAAGTCCATATATATCTCGCAAGGAACACCACGGACAGAGCCATGTATCGAGAACCTTCAGATATCGACACAATTACTGGGTATTCTCTAGAATTTATTGGTTCACAACACGCGGTGACCCTCTCTGAATCCCGAAGTAGTAACACACTAGCGAAGCTCGAGAAAGATATAAGTATAGGAGTGGACCTGGAGACACTAGGACAGCTATGGTACGCTCGGCTGGGCCATTTAAATCAGGGAGATTTATAGATAGTCCTTTGTCAGTCCGGCACTCCGTACCGCCCTCTGACAAGTCAGGAGCTGCAGGCAACGCTGTAGTGTCCAGCATACATAGCAGATAAGCAGATAAGCAGCATTAGAAGAGGCACTCCTGTCACATTTATCCCCGACTTTATTCTTCAAGAATGTTTGAATATGTGCATTCTGATAACATGGAAATGCCGGTTGGCAAGGATAGCTCTAAATATGCGATTGCCTTTACTGATGATTATTCACAAGGCTCGTGGAGTCCAATTGCTCACTAGAGCAGCGGCAACACACACAGCACGAGGGGCCAGAATGGCCACTGACACAGTGGCATAGTCTACTTCATAGTAATCGCAAAGCTAGATCGGCAAGTTAGGCTGCGTCAGAAGCTAGACAGTATCGGAGTAGCCTCCATAGGGCTTTACTTACATAAGGGGCCAACGCCTGAAGGGTGAACGCATTAGCAGACTTCTAGCAGCTGTGGGGAACTCCACGTACACCCTATCCAACATTTGCGCCGACCACGATGAAGCTGAAGAAGTTAGCGAGAACCCGCCGTCCGTTGACGACAGGCTCATTCCGCTTTTCTAGAACCAGATCTAGTCGACGTAGCTCAGGGTCAACATCTCTCTGGCATTCTAGTATCTCATCTGTAGCTGCCATAGATCTCACTCAACCTCGCACTTTGGTGGAGATAACTTATGCCTGACACGCGCCAAATCAAGCTATTGAGTGCTGCCTAGAATGATGAACGTGGCTGTGTGCTTCGCCAAGAATTTAGAAATCAGCAACCAATTATATATATGTTACAGGGGTAGTATGGGTCTACTAGTGTGTGTATTGGGTGAGCTCGCGCGACCGGTGGGGATGTGGGTGATTGCTCACCCCCCATCTATTGTGCACTCACCTAAGCTCACCTGAGGTCGCGCGATCGTAAAGCGGCTCACCCGCTAGCTCACCCGGGCGGCAGCCACCCGACTTCTGGCCACGTTTAAGCCACACACCGGGAGGTTAGTAGTTGGGTGGGTGACCACCAGCGAATCCCTCCTGTCGTATGTTTTTTT